TGCTTTCGCGCGTTTTTAAAGAATCTCAAAGGAACGTGCAAAATGAAAATTATTTTTTTGTTTATTATATATCTATGGAAAATTGTAACATCTAAAACGTGTAACTTTTACCTAGCCATAATAATATAATATGGTTCTCATTGCTCTATATTTTTTACTTTGAACTGAAACCGTGAAATAACTCTCCCAAGTGTAAACTATGTACAAAATAAAATCAATCGAACATCATTATACTTTACTTTAATAGACACACTGTTCGACCATATTGTATCGATTGTGTACGTCCTATAATATATTATATTACTCGGTCTCTGGATAATATTAATTATCATTCTAGAACAATATTATTATGTATACTAATAATACACACAATGAAAGCCTGAGGGATAGGGCACGCGGTAGTGGACTCTTGACACAATTTTTTTCTCGATAGATCACTATAAAGAATCCTTTATTATTTTTTTTTCTTTCAATTGGGTAAAATACCAGTTTGTTATTGTTGTTGTCGTTTGAGCTATGACTCGGGGCATCCACAGTATATATATATATATATAAATATCATTACCCGGTAATACATATAAAACAAGCCTGTGGTCAAACGAGTACACGCTCTTACACGGTGATTTTTTTATTATTATTGTGTTCGGTCGGTTGAAATATATTTTTTGGGAATACTGTCGTCGTTGTTGTATATTGTAACACACAATGCGTTTCTTCTTCGGTATGTCTATATAATTTTTTTTTGCCTTTATTTTGTGATATGCTAGCACAGAGACGTTACACCACCACCGCTGAACGTCGGTTGTTTTGTGCACATATTATGTGTGTATGCCCAATTCTTGTACATTCCAAATATAAATATATTACATTTTTTGGGACGTTGACCCCAAAGGCGCAAAATTGTTTTTTGATGATCCCACCCCCAGCTGGAACTAGCCCCAAATCCCACATCCGAGGTGTGCTGGTGTATTACCCCAAAGAAGAGTGGCTAAAATATAGCACATAATATCATGTCAATGAGATGATGGTGGTGTGCAGTGTGGCGGCAGCAGCAATGCAGAAGGAGGATTTATATAAACCACTTGTCGCACCGGCGATTTTCAGTTTGGTAAAAACATGTTTAAGCAGACTGAAAATAACTCGCTTAATTTTGATTTTAGAGTAAAAGCACCCATTATGAAATTAAAAGAGAACAATATTCCGGAGGGCAAGACGGTGAGTTTTAAAAAAAAAAAATTTTTTTTTGGAAAGTTACGGTCATTTAAAAATGTTTAAATAGTCGTTATTTCTAAACTACGTATTGAGCGTTATACTTAGAATAATGAAATAAACGCGCACCGTCTTGCCCTCCGAACCGTCTTGTTCTCTTTTAATTTTAATAATGGGTGCTTTTACTCTAAATCCAAAATCAAGCGAGTTATTTTCAGTCTGCTTAAACAAGTTGAGACGAAAAAACATTTTTGAATCGCTTTCAAGGATGCCGTGGTAGTCCGAAAAATAAATGAACTACCAACATAGAGTCCTAGTTATTGAACTAATAATTACACATCACAGTTTAACCTTTAAATTAAGATTTTGTAAAAAATTGCCTATACTTTACTCCTTAAAAATGGGCGGTGCGACGTCCTCTTAACACTGCACACACCGTATATAAACCGGTTACCCGCTTCCATTGTAATGTGTACAAAACAAATAAAATCGTTTAATCGTCAATTGCATTCTTGTACATAATATACATTTGTTTTTGATTTTGATTCAGAAGTTCAGAAAACTTTTTTTTATCGTACCTACGCAGACAGCAAAACACAGTTTAAATAATTTAATTATACAGCCAAAATGTTAGTAGTTTAGATATTAAAAAAAATATATATACATATATATATATAATTAGATTAAAAGTTATAAAAACAATAGAAATGTCTTGATAATATTCAGGCTACATTTTATAAATAATATATATACCGAATTTAAAGTACCAAACAACTTTGGAAATAACTCATTTTTTGCTGAAATAAAAAATCGTTTGCCATACAACACCAAGTGGTGAGCGTGTCTGTCCGCCTTTGTTGTTGCCGTTTAAAAATGCATATGGAATTTATTATGAAAATAACCGAATTTAAACTTTTCCTATTTTGTACGGCCGATAACTCGTCTGTGGCAGAAGATCATAAGAAACTACTCTAAATGTATAAATGGATTCCTGTGATATTTACAACAAATCAGCATAAACATATTTCACATGCAGTGTTTTGCAAATAAGTCGGTGTCATCGTTTCTGGTTCGCCTAGTGGTACACACAATATTATAGATCTATCGGATCTAAACAGATGAGACACAGAGATGGCAAAAAGATACCAGAAAGACACTCTGAATTATTTTTTACGACATGGATATGATGTCTTATGGCTGGGGGATCAACAGTGCTGATGTAGAGATAGTGGATTAGAGATACTGGATTAAGCGTGGATACTCTTAATTAATTTTATTTTTTTATTTGGCTCAAGTTCATCCATCGTTTTGTAATTATCCGAAGTAATGGGTCGAGTTGGGTTATTACCAAAACTCACAGTTTTGGCAATTTCTAGTTGAATATATTATGTGTATATTTTTTTCTTTGCTCAAAACGCACAGCGCGCCTTAAGACATGCCGGCATACAACTTATTATGCACACACAGTTGTTGTTGCCGTTTGCCGTTTGCCGAGGCGAATCAGGCGTGGACGATATCAAAGCTGGGAAAAAAATATGACAAGCACAACGGATTTTTAGAGTTTATATTATAATATATTTAACTAACTGTAGCTGATAGAATGCACCGGATGTGTCTATAGTGATTAAAACGCCGTTTGCTAGTGTATTTTATTATGCTATTCTCGTTAATATCCGTTTCACAAATCTAGTGGTGGTTACACAACGGTACATTATTTTTGGGAAAACCGTACCGTGAAAATCGCACTCATCCCACTTGTTGCACAAACCGGTAAATCACATATATTACATGTCATAGCAGACTTTGGGGTTGGAACCAAAATTCTAAATTCACCCATCTACCATTTTTTACAATGACCGCATCCTTTTTTTGTTTTGTCTGTATAACCCTCGTGTTGGCTTCCGGAATATAAAAAATGACAAATTTGAGAGCACGACAGTGTATATTCACAAAGAGGGTACATAGTTATATTAATTGTATTTAATAGAAGGATTGTTAATAATCTAGTCGAGTTTGATTTATTTCATGACCCATTATTTAAATTGTTTAAAAATTACTTTTCCTAAGACTACTCTTATGGTATGTGTACACATTTTTTTTTTTTTGATAAGTGTATTGTTAATATTTTATTATTGTATTTTATAACTGCCGTTATGGAGTAAGTAATTTAAACAAATGAAATCAACTCAGTTTCCAGTTAGTTATTATAGTTCTTTAGTTTTCTTAGCTCCTCGTTGCTCTCTTTAGTAAGTTTTTATAAAAAAAATGGTAATAATTTTGTATCAGACAGTTGCTAGCTGTGAAGATTAGGTGGCCATAAGACGTAGGGGATTGTGTAAAGGGGTCATTCCATGCCAAATTATCACCTGATGTGTGTGCGAGTGGATTTTTGAAATGCCTTAAACTCACATATCCTATGCAAATAGTTCCATAAAATCAGAAAAGTAAAGAAACATTTTTTTTAAACGTTTTTTGGACTTAAATCAGGTGCTACAATCAGAAAATTTGTTGTGAAAACATCACACAACACAATCATGATATCGAAATGGAACCTTTACTGAACAATTATAAATTGAGTGTTCTTTTTCATAATATACTTGAACAATTTTATTTTCAAATTTTTAAGTAATTAAAATTGAAAAATAAATTCAAAATGTTATGAATTTCGTAAAAAAAATGTTTAGTAACTCAAGGTCAAAATTTCAAAACTTTTTTTATTCTGATACATCATACTATACTCGTTTAATTCATAACTTTTCTTTAACAATTGTTTTATGTATACTGTATAGGTAACCTCAAAGTTTGGCATTTTACTAAAAAGTGATATATTTAATAGCCTAAAACTTCCAATGACATGAACCAAAAATTCTAAACTGAATTTTGGTAAAAGTTTTGTATTGGTGACTTTTTTTTTTTACTTGGAGCTGTAATTTCTCAAATTTTGTATTGTAGGACTACGATAGGTACAATTTTTTACATACTCAAGGTAAAAATTCAAAACTTTTTTTTTATGATGTACAAGCGCAACTTCAAAGTTTAGTATTTTATTAAAAAGTGCTATACAAGAGCCTATAACTTTTTGTGACAACTCCTAGTAAAAAAAAAAAAAAGTCGGTGCTTTAAAAATGTCAGCATTTTTGGTTCATGTCATGTAAATAGCCTACCTGGCCAAAGTGTTGATCGACTGACCTTTTTACGCCTATGCCTTCGGCTAGAAGTAGATTCGGAATCTCTTCTGGTTCTTCTACTACGACCGGATGAATACACGGACGGCGGCCGGAAGTCCTCGGGACGTTTCTTATTCGACCGCACCAGTTTACCAAACAAACCCATGTCCGCGGTGGTTCTTATATGTCCGGTACTGCAGGTATATTTTTGAGTTGTTTCCAATTAAGCGATGCGGAAGAAACGCTGTATGGAAACAACTCTGAAATAGTGCAGACCCGACGCCAAACTGAAGAAGCCCCGGAGGACGGGCACGAATAAAATAATACGATGCGATGCGTTTGCGCTAAATGCATACTAAATACTAAATAATAATAGCAAGTCAGTCTGACAAACGCGATGATGACATAACCGAGAGGCGTATTCTCAGGCTATCCAGCGCACACAAGATAACCCTTCACAATCCAATTAGTTTAACGTTACCAATGTGTGTGTGTGTGTGTACACATGCGAAATGTCAAAGCGACCCCCCGAAGTGCGCGATAACGTCATTTCCCCATACACGAGCCGCGGTCAATGTAGATATTTTATATTATTTTATACTTAAAAAAAAAAAAACCACTCACCATTTCTTCTACAGGCTCTTCGAACATCTCCGACCCTTCCTCGTGCTGTGGCGGTTCGCCGTTCAACCGTTGCTGACATTCTGCAAACTGAGGTGGTGGCGTGGTCGACCGGCTAGAACTTTTGCTTCTGCTGTAACGGGCAAAAAAAAAAACAACAATAAGTTTAAATCGGTCATGTTCGACAAATCTCCAGCTAAAATAAAAAAATAAAAAAGTTAAGTATTTTGAACAGTCCTAATAGATGTTTTATCGATTTTTTGACATTTTCATGTCTTAGCTCTGGCACATAACCGAAAAAAGCGTTATCAAAGAGCGTTCGTTACAAAAGCGGTACAAAACCGTTACAGGGGTAGGAGATAGGGGTGGGAGATAGGAGGTAGGAGATAGGGGGTGGGAGATAAGAAATATGTTGTACGTTCAACGTTCAAATTAGAACTAAATAATAAATTCAAAATAATTTAATTCTCTATGTTAAGTTACTTTTGGCCAGATAATAAACACTACAATTTTAGCCAGAAACTTGATTGTACATAATTTTTTTATCTCCTTGGCCTTATGCTGTAACTGGAAGCTCCATGTAATTTTTTTTTTTTTAATTATAATTCCACAACTAATTTAAATTTATTCGGTATTTCAACGAGACATGAAAATGCTCTTTCGTGGTTGCAGACTCGGCTGAAAAACTTTCAGTATCCCCAGCTTCCCAGTGGCGGATTTGTGGGGGGGCGATGGGGCGATCCCCCTCCTTGGCCTGAGTTTTGGCCCAAGAAAAATGTGGTTGTAATAAATTTCGACCATGTCAATTAATTTACCTGTTAATTTGTATAAGCTTCATGATATTATTTTTAATTTAAATAATTTTGTCTATGAGTAAAAGCCATTTTAGTTAATATAATAGTACATTTTTTGTTCCGTCACTGAAAACAGATTTGAATTCGTCATGAAGTTTACTTGAGATCGGTCAGTGTACTTTTTTTACAATTTTTAAATCAAATTTGAAAAGGGATAATATTAAAAATTTTATTAAGTACTCAGACCAATGCTAAGTAAACTTCATGGCGAATTCAAATCTGTTTCCAAATTACTTATCGGATCACTGGTTCGGCCTGTGCAATGGACAAACAATTATGTGTTTTGACTGAAAAAAAAACGGCCGGTAGCGAATCCCCTTAAATGTAGATGATATTATTGAAAGATTTGCTAAAGAAAAAAAAAAGATGCATCGATTTTATATTAAAAATATCTGAGTATTGTACTTTACTTAATTATAAGCATGTATTTGAATTTAAACAAACTTGTTGTAGCTATTTTCTATGAAAGTTTATTGGGTCAAAATTAAACTGAATTAATAATGATTAATTAAAAAATAACTAATCAAAATAATTAATACATTGTAACATATTTTGTAGACAATAATTAATAAAGTAAAAAACAAAAAAGGTAATTTTATTACACCTACAAAAAACAAAAAATTCGCCCCCCCCCCACCATTGGAGAATCCCTTGATCCGCCACTGCAGCTTCCCCCCTCCTCTAAATTTACTCCAACGCTTATAAGCTATTGTTGTAATACAAAACAACAACAATGTTTGCCTGTATCGGTAAATGTGATATTTTATTTTCATAATATTATGTTTATTCACTTAATAAAAAATAGATAGGTATAACCGTGTCTAAAGTTCAATTGATATGAAACACGGTTTTTACCTTGCCATATATCGTATACTGATTGTTTTAGATTGGCCCACAGGCTAATTAAGTCAGCGTGTTGGCGATACGGGCTAAATATGTTCAGGATTATAATAGCAAATGTCAAGTTCAACGAAGGTGAAAAAAGATTCGACATAAATTACAATGTATTAATTGTAATTCAATTGTAACGCATGAATATGTATATAAAATAAAAATAATCGTAATCGTAATCGGTTAAAACGACTATTATCCAATAAAATCTAAAAAAAAATTATGCAAATTTTAAAAACATTGGCAAGTAATATTAAAAATACATCTTGTCCCATTATACTAGTTCTTCAAGTACCGAACATACTATTCTGGCTTTTTAATTTGTATTAAACAGTTTATACATCAATTTCAAACTACAACCACTGAGTAAATTGTGTTCGTTAAATTATATATAATCATCGAATTTTAAAGAATAAAGTATTCGAATCCCAATTTTTGAAAACTCATGGTCAGTAATAAAATTCCTATCATTAATAAATGTAAATTCGATGATTAGTTTTTTTCAATGCATTTACATAAAAATATGCACAACAAATTTATCGATCATAACTTTATGGACATTTCAAATTTGCATTAAAAAAAAAATGGCATTTACAAGTATACTAGTATGTTTTTGTTCTTTTATATGGTAACGCTGAATAGTATTAAATTATTTATCATGAAAATACAACTAACAAGACATAAAATAATCAGATTATTTATATGTTGTTCTATTTTAGACAAACGTAATGCTTTTGATGCACAACAATACGAATATAGAATCAATTCAACTATTATAGTAACGCTATTTTACAATTAAAAAAAAAATAGTGTTTTTTAGGCGAGATATTTCGTTTGTCTGTAAAATAACAAAAAAATAACAAGGATGCACGAATAACAGCTCATCTGTAATGCGATTAGTCCTGTGTTGCGCTATTCAACATCTGGCCCCTAATTAAATGGAGCACATAACATGCAATGATATGATAATACACGGTCTACGGGTTCAACGACAACAAGTGTCATCTTGCGTTTAATTATTAACATAAATATATATATATATATTTTTTTTCCATATAAATGATGTTTTGCACACGATGAACCGGTCTGTTGACGGACCAGCGATTAATTTATGTGGGAAAATGTCACAGAACTAGTCTTAATTAAAAAAAAATATTATAATTCGTTAGTTGGTTTTGTCAACCGTGGTAAATTTATACTGCTAAACTCATGCAGGCAGGTATACTATAAGGCCAATGTCGTTAGTCTACAACCGCGTGGAAGATATAATACTGATGAGTAATATGTATAATATATGATAATTTTCAACTAAAACAGACCTGCGATTGTGCGTGGTCCATCAATAGACCATTATACACAATAGTGTATAATATGGAAAATGCGATTATTATTGTACACATGCCGTCGAAACCAAATAGCGGATACGATACACGTGTTTCAAGGCAATCGATCAGAGAGATCTAAAGATCATTTTCAAAACAAACGCTTCCGACACGTACACACACACAAGTAGTAGTACAGGGAAAAAAAATTGGTTTCTTTATTTTTTTCCATAGTCGTCACAATAGTATACACAATATTTTAAATCAAACTCCAACACGTTATCGCTGTAAAATAAACAGTTTTGTTTACACTCTTTAGTAGCACATTGCATCACGATCAAAGCCGGCAATAATCGATCACAACATAAGCAAACTTTTTCTGGCTGCATTTTTGGCGAAGGCACGCGCGTGAACAAAACCGACGCCACATAACTAATTGAGCAGCGATTTTTACAGCAGAGACTACTAATTAAGCGAGGTCACCCACCATAGCAATAACAATATGCTAAAGTTTTACTGTTGGTAATTTATAGCATCGAGTGTATACAATCAATCGTATTAGTTATGTTAACTGACACTTGTCTCGACGTGCCGATTTTTAACGCGTTTCTCATTCCAACTTGACCACCAAAGCCGCCACTGTTGTTATTCGATGGGATAGTTACCATTGTTTTATAAACGCATTTATCCATTACTCGATTAGCGGTAATCAACAGTTATTTGTATGATAAAAACCATCACCACGTAGCCGTTAAGTCTTAATTAAAATTATTATGGTTTATATATCGAGTCATTACGGTTTTTTCATACTCTATTTTTATGACAAGCTATTGGATTATGTTATTTTTTTACAAAATTAACTTAAGACCCGCCTGGAATTTAGAAAGAATCGGACCAACAAAAACCATTTTGGTTTGTTTGTTTTTTTTTTTTTTTTGAGAACTTGACAATACGCTAAACGGAAGTAGCCTTACGATATTTGTACGGAATCGTTATGTCAAAATATATGATACATTTTTTCGGCTACATCCACTTTGGGCACGTTTACTTCATAAAAGACAACTTGTTTGCGTACAAAGCATAAGAAACCCTATTTCAGACAAGTATAGCTGATGTTTATGCATATTTTCAGGTAGACATGACACTAATGTTAATTTAAATAATTGACTCTATTAAAAATGTATTAAGACATATTTATTTTGGCGGAAAACCGACTCGGCGATACGGTCGAAAGCCATTTGGATGTATTTTGTTATATCAATTAAAATTAAGCGTTACAATGTGCATCCAGAAATGTGCAAATGTTTATTCTAATAAAAAAATATTCTAATCATTTTCTACTACTTAATCTAATGGAAAGCACCCATACATTACATTATAAACTTGCTATAGTAACAATAAATAATATTATGCTGTACCTATTCAATATCTCATCTATTCTATCAATATCTATCTATCTAAAATTGCCAGTCTGTAAACCGGAAGACAATATTAGTTGAATTCATATTACATAATATATAATATAATATTCGTATTTTTTTTTTATGTACATACATTGGAAGATTATTTAAGTATTTGAATCGAAATTTACTCTAAATAAATAAGTTCTCAGGGGCATAGTGGACACTTCAGTTGTCAGGTCTGTCCGTTCCTGCTTGATCCCGGATGGGTGACCAGATACCGGATGGTATGTTACGTGTACCTACACAACCCCAACCAAAACTATAACCCAAAAAACCAAACAGCAAATGGTCAAAGTTGCCGAAACTTAAGGGTGAAAAAAAATTCTTATATTATTTTAAGAAATTTAAATACATTGCCTAATCGTTCGATTTAAAAGCCATCTGGATGATAATTTAGATAACATTTTATACGAATGACGTGCCCAAATCAGAACTCATCCAGCAAAAACCTAAATCGGCTAGTTTTTTATGAATTTTTTTTTCTAGTATAGGCGGCTTACTCTGTATAGTCCGAGGAGGAGATGCGTGTTTCGCCGGGCACCAGACGGCAACCGCAGAGTTTCGGGTAAATCAACAGGGCGGTCGGGGCGTCGGGCGAGAACATCAAAGGGGTCGTCGACGGGGTTGCCGCTGCAGGTGCGGCCACCCTTAGCCTACCGTATATCCTGTCGACAGTCATGGCGTTAACGACCCCGGCACAACCCCGTTTGTCCCTTTTCCTGGGGCCGGTCATCGAGTATCCGCCGTAGTCGCCAAAGTACCGCCAAGACGATGACGGCGACACGGATTTCCGGCGATCGAAAGGCAACGAGCACATGATCGAAAAACGCCGATAAAAAAAAAAAGAGAATTTTTTTTGTTTTTAAATACCGAGAGATCCGTCGTTATAGGTAAACGCCAACCGAACCAGACTGCCACTGCAACGATAATGGCAATAAGGAGCACTCGACGATTGCAACCGACGGCGGCCCGTGTAAACATTGACGGATCATAGTGCGAGGCGTTTGTTTGTTTATAAGTATATTATCTTTTCTACTTTTTGTCGTTCACTCGGATACGACCGCATACGACCCGCGGTGGTGTCTCGTGGAAAAGATTGAATAATAATTAATAATTGTCAAACACATATTTTATCCGAACGCGACGACAACAACACCGTTGGTCCGTAGCGACCGACAAACGAGACTACTAATGTGTTGTGCACGGAGAGTACATTGAACGCAGTAAAATGACGTTTATTAATAGTGTATAAGTGGTGCACGCACCGCGGTAGTGGCTGTATTATTGTCGCCTCGTCTGGGCCTTGTCGTTCCAGGCGATACCGCGGTCGGCCGGTCTCTCCTCCAGGCTCTCCACGGGCTAACGAATGAATTTTGGCCGGGTTGCCAATACAAAATGGACAATTGGACCTAACCGGAAAAGGACCAACGTCGAGGGGGGAAAAAAATAACGAAAATAAATCACAAACGTCTACTGGAAACGGTTAAGTGCTGCAGCAACGTTAATATGACGGTTATCGTCATCGTTTAACTCGGACAATAGCACAGACAGAGTAGCTCTGTTCAAGCCACGTGTGACTGAACCTTTTCTCCAGATTTTGGTCCAAGTAAAGTATAGGCCGCCGCCCCTTGTATGTACCAAACCGAAAAAAAACCCAAAGTAAACATGTTGAAAAATTAACTTGACCGATGTTGACGAAGAAAACATTATTATACGGCTCACTCTTTTACTTAACACTGGCAATTAACAAACAAATTGAAAGCAGAGATAATCGTTACCAGAAAAAAATTAAGAAAACGCTAATTTTCCAGAAAAACGTAGAAAAATATTTTTACTTCAAAATGGGCAAAAAACAAATAAAAACAAGGAAAAACGGGTCTTCTGGTAAAATCTTAAAAAAGTATAATAATATGTTATTACAATTTAAAATTCTAAGAAACATTCAAGTTTTAATAATAAAATAAAGTGATTTACATGATATTAAATTAAATCCATTTAGGCGATTCTTTTATTTTAAAAGGCATTACAATTACCTAATAATGTATTTATACTTGGAGACATTTTTTTTTTTTACTTTTTAATTTACTAAAAACGTGTTTTTTCTAAAATGTATTTTTTTAATTTTCTTATAGTTCTCTATCTGTCTTTGAAAAAAATCTAAAAATCACAATTTTTTAGAAATTGTTTGACGAATATTACCTGAGAATTTCTCTAGTCGATTCGATTTTTAAATCGCCTACCAAGTTTAGACCAACAAAGTATTTTATAATTTTATTTTTTGTACAGCAAAAATGTACATCATTGCTGAGACCAGTTCTGATTTTGACATGTAAAATAGAATAAAAAAACTATTTGTAGTGAATTTTAGAAAAATTGTCAAACGTACAAAGCACACAGATCATACCACAAGTATTAGTTCGCAGTTCGGGTACAACTTTGTCCTTATACTTAGGTTTTGATTTGTTTACATATAGAAATTGTTCTACTAATCAATCACTGGCTGTTTAGTAACTGATGGTTTTTACATTTTTAGTTTATGTTAAAATTAACAATTAAAAGAGTGTGGAAATAAATACTTCAAAAAGGATAATATTTTAAATAGACGTGGGTTAGATACAATATTTTACTACTCAAGACCATTGTTTGCTACGTCGCATCACTGGCACAGACACCAGACACGGTATTCGGTTCAAAGGCTAAAAAACAATTTAAATATTTTATCATTTTTATTCCTCTTAAACGATTGTTTATTTTTACACGTTCCTCAAGGCATCAATTTAAATTAATTAAAATATAATAACGCTTCAACGTTTATCGACTCGACACCATCATCAGGTTTCCATAATGAGTAATATGTGAAAAACATATTTTTTAATATATATATATATTATGATAACATATATTTTTTACATAAAAACTGTGTCTTAAAACGCGTCAATTGCCCGTTAGAGAATTTATTTCAACTGGCGCTTTAACAGTAATTTAATATAATTGTATTTTGTTTTGATCATTTTTATATTAACAACCTAGTTAACAAGACATGGACACGCCACTAATAACACACCATTGCGATGGAAAACGCCTAAACAAAAATGATAGTGCACAATCAAGTTATGATGAAAATATTTCAACTCACATCCGACGACATCATAGTATTTATATTGGAAATAACAAAAAGTGTATATATACAAAAAAAATAATCTTTTGATAGTTATCAGGCTCTATTAACTGAAGGTTTAAGGCAGAAGCAATGCATCTGTATCGGAAATTATCGATTGCCCACTTATGTTGTGACATTGAATAAATGAGAAAATGAGCCAATGAGTCAATGAGAAATGATGTAATAGGTATGCAAATAAAAATATAAAAAAATTAAGATTAAAACGGAATTGTAAATACAGATAAACCCATCGCACTAAAGGTATATAACAAAACGAGTGGGCATCAGTTAGAATGTCAAATAAAAACATGTAATGTTAGTTTAGAAAATCAAAATAAATAGGTTAACGTGAAATAAAATCCACAAATAAATACATCATATGTGCAACAACTACAAAACCAAGGTCATCAAGGTATTTAAAATAGGGCGACACGAAGAGCACACCCCTGCAAATATTTTTAAGTGTAAAATAAATTTGGAGTTGAGTGTTTTTTTTTATTTCAATGTTATCTGAGAAAACATAATTTTACAAAGATGTTTTTTTCTACGTTTACAATAACTTTTAATTATTTATATCAATTATTTTTACTTTTCATTTGCGTTATATCAAAGCCTAGACACAATTGGCTACTAAAAAAAAAATTCAACAATAAAAATTGTGAATTGTTGGTAAATAAGTTTTGTCATTCAACCTAACCAAGTTCGACTCTATTATACTAAAAAAAACAAACATTTTTTTAAATTTATATTTCTAAAAATGTTGGTAGTTTTATGAGTAGCTTCAAACAATGTTCTAAAACACAAAGCTTTATAAATTTATTTTCTGCACATTTATCTTTAATTTTGTGGAAAAAAAAAAATACAAAACCCGTAAAAAATTAAAAGAAAATTTTGGTACACATATTTAGTATATAACTCTAATGCAGTGATTAGCTTCGATGCGGAGCTGAGAAGGTATTTTTTTTTTTAAGTTATAAAAGTATATATTTTAAGTAATATAGTTTTAATCTCCTTATTAATATTGTAAACTCATTTTTATTTGAAATAACTGAAGTATTAAAGACATCGCACTTTATTTAATTACGATAACTTTGTTGAAATTAAGTTTACGCCCACTTCTTGTCGTTCTTATCTCTTTCTTTAAAATATAAAGTAATAATGCAGAGTCAAAGTTTACTATATAATTTTTTTTGCTTTATTTTCCTGATGTACCCATAAACACGCTATTGCATAATTTAAACAAATATAAAAGTAAACAATACAGTCTTGATCAGAAAATTGTACAGCAGAACATGACAATGTTTCTAATTTTAAAATTGCTGTACTTTTTTTTTTCTAAGTAGCTAATAAAATGTATTATAAACACAGAATAACTTTAAACATTTAACGGAGAACAATAATTTCATCGTTATTCAACCTTAATAATGATTATTAAATATACCTAAAATTATATGGAAATAAATCAGACTTATTATAAAACTCGTTACATAAATTACCAAGAATTTTAGACTTAGATATACCTAATAGAAGTCTGGTAGGTTTCAACTCTTGATAATTGGTAGCATCGTTAAAACCATCCGATTTATTCAATAGACAGTGGCACTCAATGAAATAACGACAAATTTTTTTTTTCCAGCTTATGTTTCCAATTTAATTATTAACACTGTATAAGCTGCAATTTGTATATGGTCCCGTCAAATCTCTTTCTATGTATATTTTATTGAATTAGACAAAAAAAATGCTCAATACAAATGTTCTTTTGATCCTGTGCGTTTCAGTCTCATCAGACAGGTTTTTTTATATAGAAATTCAGGTTTTAAATTTATTTCACCAATTGCCAAAATTTATTGTAAAACATATCTTGTGACTCTGTTTACCTATGTTTTATTTTTCTTTAAATATTTTTTATTCTGTGATTATTTAAATAACTATTTTTACTTTAACATATTATTTACCATCAGTCTCTTAATAAAAAGTAATTACTTTTTTATTTAATATAACCAAAATTGTGTTTAAGAATAACACAAAAATAATGGCTGACATATTAAACTAGAGAGAATTATAAATTTATACCGATATGTATAAAACATTTTTTTTACTAATGAACATACATATATATAAATACATACACATGTATATGTCCTTGTCCTTGTAACAAACTAGTATGAATAATAATAGCTTTTAAGACAATACACACAAACAAGACAATTGACAATAATCTTTTATTTTACCTATTAAAGCTAAACTAATTGATTGCCATGTCTATGAATGGTTCTTGTATTATATTCAATTACCAACTTATGGTGAGAACCAATGTCAGTTAGATATATTGTTACTATTGTTGATATTATAAATCGGAAATATCTTATCATTTAACATTATCGACTATCATTGCCTATATTATACTAAAAAAATAATTGAATCTATGGACTATTACTTAATAGTCCATAAATTCTATTACTTAATGCTTTTACAAATATCGATATTCATCATTAAATATTACTGTTTTTGAACAAAATTTATATGTACACAAAATGTATTGTATTTACAATCAGTGACTGTTCCTAATTTGAAAAAATGCAATAGGAACCCAATTCCTAAATACTAATATTATTGAGTATAACCCATAGAGTATAATCAATGGTAATAATTAGTAAACAAATAAATAAGAATTATCCTGGTATTCTTGTGGGAAATAACAAATTGCTTAAGCCACAGATCAAATAGTGTTAACTCTATAATTAGGGGGTTTTTGTTTTGTTTTTACAATACATAGATTTTAAACCAAAAATATCTACCAATAGTGTTACGGTTATCACTATTCGATCTGTGGTACAGATTTTTAAATGTATTTAAGTTTAATAATTAAACCCACGATTAATACAACATAGATAAAATAAAAAAATATTCGTTTATGACACTACTCACTTGTTGCTTATTTTTCTGTCGCCAATACTTTCTTGATCGTCTGAATCCATAAAATGCATTTCTTCGTTTTTAACCATTTTTCTAATTAGTTCAAGGAAAATTAAACTTGTGAAACATACACCCGGTATTTATTGAAACTGAAAAATTACCCTCAAAATTAACTGAAGTAAAAGAACGCTCGACAATATGATATGGCCTACTTACGGGTTTTTATGATTTAAATTTACAAGAGATTGCTATAACGTCGTGATAATAAGTTTAAACAAAAAAAAAACGTTAAGCGAATTTAAAATATAATCAATACGCCAATAAAATAACCATTAATCTGTTAACGAGATTATTATTTTAATAGTGTTATTGTTGTAATTTTTTTTTTGTATAGAAATGTAAACAAAGCAGGGTTTTATCATGTTATCAAATTCTGGTTTAATGAATGCACGGTCGAAATGTCAAGGAGAATGTAACGTCGGTGTTGGCGGTTGGCTTGTACCACGGTCAGGTACACTCCGCGTGAAGCAAACCCGCCATTTTTTGAATAAACGCATGGACGCATGTTAGCTATAGTTTTTTGAAAATATAATAAAATTTAGGTTTTGAATTGCTACCGTTGTCGAAAATACGAACCGCGTTAGTTTCGAAAATAAGTAATGCTGATTTTATATATGTATAAGTTAAACGGAATTTTTAAATATATTAAATCAAAACACTTTATAGATACGAATAAACCATAATTAAAAAGTAGATTTAAACAAATTTGACCAAATACCCATTTAGTTTTTAGTTGTATTGTACCGGCCTAGATAGTATATTATATAATATTAATTTATCCATTAGTCGGGTGAAATTATTTTTCATAATGTAATTTTCATAAACTTAATTTTAGTCATGTGTACTAGTTAAAGTATAACTAATTTTATTAAAAATTTAAATTGCTTTTATGATGCAACTTGCTGTTGATAAATCATTGTAATAATAAATACCGGGTATTTATATATTAAGTGAAACTTCAAGAACGTTTTATTTTCAAATTAAATTTACAATAATAAAGTTCAATGAATAACTTAATAGATAATATCTTAAGAGGGCGTTGTACATCCAATTATTTTTAATTCATAAAACTTTACACAAGAAAGTTTTGCTAAAAAATATAAATACCTCAGCCTAGCGGTTATAAAAGTATGCAATTTTTTTACTGTAGTTTGAATTGCCTACATTTAGGAGCTATACGGACATAGTAAAAGTCTCGAGAATATGTTTTTTTAGCTAAAAAAATTTCACATAAAATTTGCATTATATTAAAAGGCAAAATAAAACCACGGGTACTAATCTTAAAAACTATGTTAACGTTATAAAAATAAAAATAATTTTTAAAAAACTATTTACAATGATCATGCTGTACAAAAGGGTATAAAAATAATTCGTGTGATTGACATTGAAACAACATAAATTATAATAAAACGAGAGTGATCCCTCTCGGATCACGTTCACAGCACTCAAAATACATAGTATGATAAGTGATGAGTTCCTAAAAAAAAAAAAAAAACAAATAGTAAGTCATATCCTTTCTACGATAGAAAGTTAACGAAGCAATATAGGTACTGACTTGTTATTATTTCAACCACGTTGCTGCGTGGCCACTGACTGTTTTTTATTGTGTATGTAATCCAAAATGTGTCAGTTATTGTAAAGTACCGTTCAAATCATGTTTTCAATCGGTTCCCTCGTGTATTCCAACACCGCCTCCGACAATGCGGATAACGCATTTTCCGTTATGACGGGATTGATTTTTTGCTGTATCGCCTCGGCCAAAATATTTTTAGTGTTCATTTTGTTCTTTTGCAGATAAATTTCCACGATCAGATTGGCTATTGGATTCACGGCGTAATGCTCCACGTAGCTTCCAATGTTCAAACCGAGTAGTTTTGTCTGTAGAAAACAATCAAATACACACATTGCAGTACAATTAAATGTGACGTACACCAAAGTAATCACAAATAACACAATATTGTTAATACATTGGCCTCTCCGTAATCGTAGTCAACGGAAACGTTTTCTACTTCCATACTTCTGGACAGCAGGTCTACATCTATTGTCGTGGCAATAGTCGCAGTAACGTTATGTAAATTGGTTCTAGAAAAAAAAAGTTATAAATCTTTTGGTATACAATGTTCATACATTCATTCAATGTTAATAATTCATGTCAAAAGTGATAGCTCTGTGCCACAGCCACAGTTTGTTGAATTCGGAACTAGCCTATTAGAATTAATGTAGAATTTTATATATATATAATTTTTTTTTTTTTATACACAAATGGAAATTTTGATTTATATATAAATTGTTATACTAAAAAAAAAATGTTTTTTTATAAGTTTGACTTGCCAGGGATAATCCTAAAGTATAGAATATGTATCCGCTAACGCTACATTTGTGTTTAAAAAACTATGTAGATAATATAATATTATAATACCGTCAAATCTTACAACTGGGACAGATTTCAACTTTAAACCGCTGTAAAGTTTTTACCATTATAGCAAAAGGTCAGTTTTGGTGTGTTAATGAAAGCTCAATATAGACTTTGAGAAAAAAAAAAGTTTATCAATGCGTAATTGTATTAGTTTCTTTTTTGTACTTGCTCCAAGTTTTAGCAAAATTCTACAACTTAGACTGCATTACTAAATTTACTTTAAACCCACGTTTTCTTGCACCGTGTCAACTTGGAATCAAAAAGTAGGTACTTAAAAAAAAAAAGTATTACAACATATTGTGTCAAAAAATAAAATTATTTTTTAGAAAAATTGCAGTTTTATCCATGTGAACAATTTTAATTTCACATTATATCATATGACAAATTTAATATTAACTTAATAAACGTGTATTTCGTGGTAATTTTTTACAAGGACCATTTGTATGATAAAAATAACAGTTTCTTGTATGCATTTAATTGCAAATGCCTTAACGAGACCCTGACTTTATTGGAACACATCATTTTTCCCCTATTGTTTTAGATAATACAAAGCACACATAATGCAGATAATATTTACTTTAAACCCACGTTTTCTTGCACCATGTCAACTTGGAATCAAAAAGTAGGTACTTAAAAAAAAATGTATTACAACATATTGTGTCAAAAAATAAAATTATTCTTTAGAGAAATTGCAGTTTTATCCATGTAAACAATTTAAATTTCACATTATATCATATTACAAATTTGATATTAACTTAATAAACGTGTATTTCGTGGTATTTTTTTACAAGGACTATTTGTATGATAAAAATAACAGTTTCTTGTATGCATTTAATTGCAAATGCCTTAACGAGACCCTGACTTTATTGGAACACATCATTTTTTCCCCTATTGTTTTAGATAATACAAAGCACACATAATGCGGATGATAATATTTACTTGATATTGCCAAGACTCTGTGGCATGTTGATTTTGTGTTGTATCCATATGCCGTTTAGGATTATTTCACCGTACATGTAATAGTCGGCTTTGAGTTGCAACTCTGGAATGTACAAGTCGATTTCGCAGTTAACTCCGTCCACATAGATAATCGTACGCAGGTCCAGCAACATTATTCGGTCTAAGCCTTTTATTTCGATATTTTGCAACGAAACGTTGACACTACAAAATAAACGAACAAATAATTTTACAAAAAATCCGCCAACTTTGGCATAGTTTCCATTCCCATTCGGTTCTGTGCACTGACTTTATGTACAGGTTGTCCACGTTTATCAGATGCATGTCGTTCAAATACAGCACCGCGTTTTGGTCGGTGATTTTCCGCTTAAAGTGATGTAAGGCGCTGAGTAAAAGTTGATCGAACACGTTTTTCAGGTTTTCCTTTGAATTCAAATACTGATCGTCTAACCGCATAAAAAAAAAAGAAAAAACAATAACCTTACAACGGAATGATCCAAATTTCCAAAAAAAAAAAAAAAAACGTACCTATCACTTGGTTGTACTGGAGAATTTTCATAAATACATTTTCACCGACCGAGTGAACCGCGTTTGCCCTGATAGCAAACCAAAAGCACAACAGGAACAACAATTGCATTTCCACAGCGTTACGCACAAAACAAATTAATTAATACTTATAATATACATATATGTGTAGGTATAACAATAATCAAGGGCAACGCGAGCAATGAACTGCGAGGAGATTCATCTGCTATTAATATGTACACACAAATGAACTTAATCGTATTACTCTAAGAATTATCTGAAAATAAAATAAAAAAATAATGCAATAACTGATTATTTTTTTTTTTTGTCTAATTTATACAAAGAACACTTTAACGTCAGCTTTATCTAGCGTTGCTGTGAACTCGTGTTTGTGAAAAAAAAAAACACATAATTTTCTTTACAACCATGCGTGTAATAGTAATCATATTAATTAGTTCCTCGTCACAACGCACAATGAATACATTCTGTTTATATTTTTTAAATATAACACAAAGAGGGAAATAAAGAAATTAGCCGGCGTTAAGTCATATTTGCGAGGGGTGTGACTTTTATTATTATATAAAATTTAAATTAAAAATAAACCTTAGCAATATTTTATATATATATATATATATATATCACAATATATTGTAATATATTACAATTACAACATATTGTTACATATAATATTATGTACACATATGTTCACATATTAAAATTTAATAACAGGAAAATCTACTGATGATGACAAATCGTTAACGAATGTTTTTATTATAGTATTGTAACCATAAATTAACAAATCATTAACTTGTATACAAAATATAATAATATACAATAAAAACTATTCAACTTATTAAACAAAAACGTGGGCAAGTAACTAATTAATAATTGTACATAGAAATTAATTTTTCATAAGTTTTATTTATTAAAAAAAAATAACTAGACTATTAATGTGGCAATAATGATTTTTGTAGGCTTTTTTTTTAAATTACATAACAGCTATATCAATTGTTTTAACAGAAAAATTAACTAGATGTATAATATTTAATGTAGATGGTAAAAAAAAATAGTTAAAGGGTAAAAGAAAACCGTTCTTAAATATTTGCTTCTCTCTTCTATACAATATGTTTTTAAACGTGCCTTTTTTTAAAAAATAATTATTGAAAATTATTTTTATTTTTTATTGTAAGTAATTTTTTTAATTTTTACAATAGTGACTTAGACCATATTATTATGTCATATTCCAGAAGATCCATACATATGCATTTGGGGTGAGGGGGAGGGGCTAACTTTTCATAAGTAAATTATCTGAACCATGGCACTACATTAGGTATAATGTTTCTTCTGTGAAATGAGCATAGAACACTGCGCACGTTTGTAGACAACGGTTGAGGTGTGAAAATGTATATTATATTTTCTAAAAACACATGTATTGATGTTTTAAACCAAGTTGAAAGGACGTCAAGTTGTTTTATCGCTAAGTAGCTGTTAGCCAAATTAGTGGCCCTATTGATTTTGAATTTTGTGTCGGTTGTCAATGGAGATTTGTTTTAATATTAATGGTGTGCATCGAATAATAGCGTATAATTGCATGATGTCATTTAGAGAGATCATAAGAAAACCGTACCATATTATTAATAGGCGACAAAGTATAAAGCCAAATATTCAAATAATGGTTACTAATTGCATACGGTAACAAAAATGTTTTAATTAGATAAATTGTTCGTTATCTAGGTCATCATATAAATAATAAAGTGTTCATATTTTAATTTTGATTGCATATTACTTGTACCCTTGAACGGACTGGGAATAAATATGTTCGTTTATCATTAACAAGTATTTACTTACGTTTAAATTCTATTTACTTTGAGTAATGCGTGACGTTTTTGATAAACTTGTAATACAAAATGTACTAATAGCTAATAATATTCAGTAATGCAGTGTTGGGCGCAATTGATGACTTTATGATTAAATTACATGGGCTTTATTTTACAAAAAAAAAAAATATGGTTGGTACGCGTTACCAAAGTAGAAGAACAAATCATACACCTACTTAATATGCTGTTAATGTTATATTCTTCATAAGTTTTATTGAAAAATTGCCTATACAATGCGCCTTAAAAAGCACCAGTGTAAAGGCTATACCATCAGCAAGAACTTGCCCAACATCGAGTCATGTATATTAAAATCAATTTTTGATTTATATTCTACTACAGATGTTTTCTCGCTCATTACTCAAATACATAAAATCATTCTTGTAATACTACCTATATCATTGACTATAGAGTAATAATATAAAAAGATGAACTAACATATGGTGAAGTAAATAGTAGGACTAAAACCAGTATGGCCACACAAAAGAAAAAAAAGTACACATTTTTAAGCGATTGGTACTCTATAGGATAAACATTTGTTTTTGTTTTTTTCAAGATACTATTACCATTGTCATCTTATCACCAGGATATACTGAACGGTATTTTTTTTTCTTCTAAAACTACTATAGCCACCCCTGAGCTATGTACAATAATGCATATTAATACACATTAAACGTTCACCTATTAATTTATATTATTTACATACATAACTGGTTTGAAATAATGCAATAGGCCCAAGCTGCAATAGTCCCAAAATGTGATATTGCACAAATTGCGATTGCCCACTAACCCTGGTCAGTTTACATAATACAAAATATTATAATTAAATCAAGAACAATAATAAAATAGCACTGGATACATACATTCGTCGAGGCCTATTTAATCAGTTCTATCTACAAACGTTGTTTTCCACAATTAAAGACGTTAAGCTTTGATCAATTTTAAGCATATATTTATCCGAATTCGCTTATTAGTTTGCCAGCCGACGCTAGTTAATTAATTGCGTTTAATAAGGCTACAAGGGACCACTACGTTGGTTACAATACATACATGTACTCAAAATTAAATTTATCTTATTCAAAGACAGATTATGTGTGGTCTTGTGGGGTGTTCTGTCTGTGTGGGGGGATTAATGTATGGTATTGGATATATGGCGTGTACTGTGTGCGGGCATATACCAAAGTCGAACAGAATGGAACAGCGGGGTTTTCGCACCCAATGACATAATAATAATACTAATACTATATAATACGTGTACCGTATACACCACCTACACCTTTTTACCCTTCTTTTAGGATGCCAAAAAAATAAAAATGTGAGATATAAATAATTTTGCCTTATTGTACACCGTCGACCCTTTTGGGGTAATAATTTACGGCAGATCCGGTTTTGGCCACCGCAAAAATTTATCTATTCTCTCCGCCTTGTGTTTACAATCGAAAACATGGTAGTTTTCAAAGGATGAATATTGTAAATCAATGGTGGTTTTGGTGGGTTTTTTCTTACTTGTACGTCCCACTTGTACTTTCATGTCTTCGCTGGCTCTATCCGAAGATCTGTAATAGTTTTACCACTCGAGTCAAACATGGGAAATGACAATTTTATTTATAGACTCTCTGAAAGTATTAAAGCATAATGGCCATAAAAGTAAATACACTAACACTTAACACAATGTTAGTTAACAATTATTCGTTTAAATTGAACATCTGGTTAAATGAAATAAATTCCACCATAACATTATTATTGTTAAATTCTATTTGTTAGGTTAACAAAACCTTAGTAGGGTTACCAAAGTGGTTACCTCGATTCCAACGTTCTCATTGGTTATCGCGAAATGTGATAACTGATAAGTGATTGTATTATTTAATTTGTCAGTTTGTTATTATTTGGCATTTTATTTTACTTTCTTTTAACGTTTCGGTTTATATAAATAATTTATATATTGTAATTGCTTAACACATTGTTTAGATGGTCTAAAAATAGTTTATCATCAAGGTCATTAAAAATCATTTTTTCTATTTATTATTAACAATAAGTTAAATTCTTAACAAATGTTGGCGAAACCGGCTGTTTAAGTTATAACTTAAAACTCACAACCGTCTCTATTGTATGATCCAGACTTCTTCTTTTGTTGTTTTCTATTATAATACAAAAATACATAAAACCGTATGTGTAAAGCTATTCAGTTCAATATCATAAGAGTTATGTGTATATATATATTTTTTTAATTTCCTAAGTTTTTCCAAGGTAATTTCGCAGATACATTTTTTAACAGAAACTTTACGGCGCACAAATTACCTTCAGCAACGCACATAAACTAGTTGTTATAAAAACTATATACTTTTAACTGTTGAAATTAATAGGAATAACAGTTAATCGATTATCCAATGGGTTTTATTGTAAGTACCTCTTACACGTTTAATAGCTATTTATTATCGTCGTAGTGATGGCAAAATGCACGGAAAATACAGAAAAGATACATTAAAAACTATTTTAATTAAAAATAACAATTTTGTAATGCGAGAATAAAGAAATCAACTTAGTCTTAGGTGTATATATTATTATACTTTATAACCATGTAGCGGTTTACAGAGCGGTTATACTTTTGGCAATGGTAACTTATCAATGGTTTTCGTGTGGAGTTAACAAAACTGACATTTTGACCAGGTCGACTTGTTTTCACATCAACTATACATTGTACATTTCCCTTATTGACTTAGTAAACTATACTTGATTTGTTCGAGAACGGCCGTACACAATATTATTGTACCTACACTTGTATAAATATTGTACTTTTGGTTTCATTTTTAGGAGTCAGATTTTCACAAATACATAAATTCAACTAATTCTGTATTTTTCTTATGATTTTACTAGCAAGAGTTGTAAGTAGGTGTTGTATTTTTAACAGTACCAAAAATGTAATTTAAGTGGTGTTGATGAGTTAATTCGGTTTTTAATTTTTGGTGTTTATTATTCATTTTTGAAAACATCTTATCTGAAGTTATAACAATAGGACTTTTTGGGAAAAAAAGATGGACAGAAAAAATATCAACAGTTTTTTTTATTTTTGATAAATTCGATTGCACGATTTAGTGTATTGTCATTTGGAAAAAAAACAGATCAAAATGGTTTCTAATATAATTATTTTAGATTTACAACCAAAACGTAGTTAATTGCAACAATATATCTGAACAAATGATAAACGAAATTGTAGATGTTATTAAACTGCATTACAAATTGTTTAAATATCCAAAGTTTAGTCTTCGAAATAACTTTGTATCCCAGACATCAGGATACATATGATTTGCTGAGGGGTCTTCCATATAGTTTCTACTCGATTGCAAATTGTCTAAAATCATGT